GGCTTGCACTCTATTGAGAACATAAGAAGAAATATTGCAAACAGCAGGAGGCCATTTTTCTCATTTAGTTTTGTACTGTAGTTTGTAACTTAATGATCTGAGGATCTTGTCTATCCATTTGGTGTGTGGAAGAAGCCAGTGGATTATCTTTGGGGATGAAGATGATCCCTTTCTGTGAAGCATGTACTGTACAGTTCTTTGGATCCTTTGTGATAAAAAGTTGCATTAAAGTACAATTGTTATTATTGGCCACTGCTATTACGCTCATCAGGACTTACTAATGAGCTCTTGAGCCTTCTTGAATGAGCACGTCTGCCTGTTCTAAAGGTTTTCCTTGATATTAAGCTCCATAGAATACTCTTGATGAATTGTCTACCATTCTATGAAAAAGGAGAATTGAACTTCTACTTCTATTTTTATAATTCTTTTTCATAATTATTACTGATTCCTTTACCTTCTAACTGATTAATCATAACACCTTGGACTGATCTGATACAATGTGTGATCCAGACCGCACGAAGCATACTGTATTTCTAAGCATAGTTAACAATATCACTTTATGAAATGACTTATCCTAATAATTATTTTATATTACCTTGAGGATCTTTGACAACAATGGAGGATCAGCCTTGGTTAACAAGGGTGTGATTTAGGTACTGAGAAGAAAGTACACCTCAAAGGACAATTCATTCCCAAAAGGATGATTTACTACACATCAGCGACTCAAGCCAGGTTCTGCCCCTCCGCTCCTACTCTCCAGTCTGTACACTCTGAATTGCAGGCACGCTTCTCTGCATTAAATATGAAAAATCTGGTTTGCTATGTATCCAGGGTAACTGGATGCAGGTTCTGAAAGAAAGAACAAATCACGCAGTGTCATGCCTTGTATGTCAGTGTCTGTACGAAGGACATGAAGAGGTCATCTTGAACAGAGACAATTTCTTGTTTCCCACTCAAGATAAACTCTAAAATAGCAGCACAGCAGTGGCCCCGTGCTTTCAGATAAGTGAGATCCCAGCTCTGCCTTGGTATCTGTACTTTTTTCTGCACAACAATTTTTTATCAAAAAAGAAAAGGCCACGCACAGGTAGAACATTTTTGTCCATTCTGGGGCGTGAATACCACAAAGTTCAATCATTCCCCGTTACGGTACATCTAAACAGAATGCTGTTCATGGAAATAATAAGCAGTTTTATGGCAGCTTCATTAGAGGACTGCAAAATGGACATTTGGTTTGAGTACAAGTTTATATTTGTCATTATTTTTGTTTTCCTCAGGAAGGCCATTAGTTTTTTTTATTTCAAATACAGGGTGCTGACATTGCATAGCTCCTGGACAGTGGTATAAGAACAGAAATCCAAATGACTGCTCGTACTATAATGTGTAGAAAACTCAGTTGCTTACAAAGCCATTTTTAAGGGAGTCATGAAGGGTTATGCAAGGTAATACAGCACAAAATTAAGGAAAGGAGCTCCTGACAGAGTATGGAAGTTTTCCTTTTAATAAGAGAAGGAAAAAGAAGGAATTCACAGGCTAAGTGAACAGACAAATTAAAACAAAAAAGGGTTCAGAACATTTGGGTTTGCAGCCAAATAAAGACCAGTGTTTGGGTGTTGCATTCATTGGCAGAATATATTAAAAAGGCCACTGAAGAAAATTTGGATTACCCTTGCTGTACATGACTGTGTGCATGTGTAGGTGTCTGTATGAAAAGTGCACGTTTTCGAAGCTGATGACAGCCGGTGCTCTGGGAATAACTTTACAGAATGATAATTCTCATTTCTGCATTTACATAACAATGGCGCACCACTCACCCCTCCTGTTTACAAGGAAAGCAATTGAAAAGACACGGCCCAGACTACAGTAGCTCCCA